ACCAATTTTACAAAATATAATATCGTTATTGTTGTCGATATTAACTCGCACACATACTAGTGAATCTACCGCGCAGACAAGGTAAACTAGAAACACATATCGAGCACATTTTTAGCGCTTAAACAGTTCCGGAATTGCTTGAATGCAACACACTAAATGTCGAATGACGATGATCATAGTTAGAGTAGTCTACGTGGGTGTGTGTATGTATGTGGATGTATGCTGATGTTGGGTGTGTACGAGTATGTGTTGGTGTTGTGAGTGCATGACAAACGCGGCAATGAAATGTAAACCCATCCGTTCGGGGTGTGTATATGTGTATGTTTTTTGGCTCTATTTGAACCATTTTATCTATATCTTTCTCTTTCTGTTCCGACAAGATTTCTATTCGATGATGAGATCGCACGTGAGGTCGAACCAACACAGATTGTACCATACACACATAATTGATATAACAGAAAAGAAAACGAGCATATCTATTTCGACTACAATATATGGGTCCGAATATAGCCGAAAAAAGCGGAATAACCGAGAGACAGAGAAAACGAGAAAGAAGAATCAGGGGCACAACAACGAGTGAGAGAGATTGAGTTGTCAGAAGAAATGTCAGGAGCAATGATGTGTACAATTATGCAAAAAGAAATGTGGTTGTTGTAAATGTGTAGTTGTTGCTGCTCTTGCTTGCTTACCAAAAGACGACGACGAAATGATTTGTGTGTTTTATTAGAGTTTTGGTTGTCGGTAGCCCATAAGTGTATTACATGAAAAATTGTACCTCATTTTCTTTTCAAAATCAATTGAAAGTGGATGTACTTTGAATAAATATTAGGCAGTCATCAAACAACGTTCTTTATTTGGCACATACAATCCAAGTTGTCAACGAGAGATTTGTGCGAAATTTTTGTTTATTTTTCAATTTCGATTTTACGTTGAATTCGCGGCGCGGTCATTCGGTCCATTTGTCATCATAGATATCTGTGAAAAACAATTGTGTAATTTTCTTCATTCGTTTGCCGAAAATTAACATCCTGTGTAATATTTTTTTTGTGTAGAGTTTTTCGACGAAATTTTACTAACGTCGATTTGTGAATCGATTTTGAGTCATCAACATACGACTTTTTTCATTTGACAAGTTATATTTCAAAAAATCAACTTATATATGACATACATATATCATCGATTGTGTTTAGCGCGCGCTCACTCGTGACAATGTTCTCAAACAATAAAGTCATTTGATAATTAGTTTTAAATCACACTCACACGAGATATCGTTTCGATTGCAAATCATTTTCATGGTTCGTTTGTTCGTTCCTTGTTTTGATAAGGTACGAGAAAAATTGATTAATCAACAACAGTAAAACGTACACATGTATTTTCCGAATGTATCAGTGTGTAATTGAGTGCAAACAAGTACAAGTGTGATAAAACCATATTCTGCAGCGCGGAAGAAAACGATCTATAGAACGTTTTACGAGAGTAAATGAAGTGAAGAGGTTCTTTTATCAGAACAACAAACGGAAGACAACGAAACCGTCCGCCCTCTCTTCAAAAAACGGTGTACTCATACAGAAAATTATCCAATCAATAATGGAGATACATAAGAATGAGAAACGTGTCTATAAATTAGTTTTAACCGGCGGTAAGTAGTGTAATCTAATGCCATTTGATTCAAATGAGTTTTCACCTATTTGTATTAAAATCAACCAGCTTCCATTTTCGTTGTTATTTTTACATACTGTTCTATGTGACTATTTACATTCCTTATTTCTTGTGTAGTGTTGTCAGTGTAACACAGATTTGCATGATTATATTTAATGCTGATTTTTTGGGCAAAAGAGAGAAAGAGAGATACACTCAACTTAGAAAATACAAGTAATGCCTACACGCGTACGTACAAAAAATTGTCTGCTTAATTGAAAAAAGAGAATATATGTCGAAGAAATGAATTGATATCAATGCATCATTTCGACCACGCGGTCCTTACAATGAATCATTTTCTCACTCACATTTTTCGATTGTACTCTGTCATCTGTCTCCGTATAATAGTTACACTGTCCCATACGTAACGCGAACAGTCACACAAACATATGTAAATGCACACATATGCACGATGTAAGAGATGTGCTTCATAAAAGCTACATATTCCCTTCAAGCGGGCAAATTGAATTCGTAACCGCTGACAAGCGGTGTGACAACACAGCCTCGAGTACCATGTGCTTTTCAGAACCATTAAATTATTTTACGCCTTTTTTGTTGGTTAGAAGAGGTACATGTGCATTTTTGCTCAAATTAGTTTGTCAACTGGATTTTGGAGATTAAGCAAAAAAATTATTCTTTATTCGAAAAAAAAAAAACATAGACATTTCTTTTGAAACAGTTGATTCGCACATGGAAAATCCGATAGCTAACATCAAAAACCCAAAGAGTAACAATTTGATGATATTAAATTTCTACCATTCGCATATTGATAATAAGATGGTTTTGTATATAAATTATATTGCACACATTATATATAAATATTTGGCGGTAATTCTCGGTCTTATTTCAAGGGAGTACTCACTCACCCACTATGTTAAAAATATCACATTTCACATACCACATTCGATATGTGTGCCTACACGAATTGATTCATTGGTGATAAATTTTCAAATATCTGTTATTGAAACCGCTTGAAGTACAATCGATATACATCAAACTATACAAAGCAATAGGGCAAAAAAGAATGAGAACAGAATCGGAACAATTTTTTCGTTAGTGCGCTGTTATTTTTTCAAATTCACATTCATAAAAGATATGATTCGCGTTTGCCTCTCTACCCTTGTTTAGTCTAGTCATTATTGCCGTTGTTTATATTCACATCTCATGTGATCTGTATCGTATGGTGTGGAAATTTTTGATGCATTCATGTATACTATATACTCATAAAAAGTATTTTATGCGTACAAAACACTAAATGCTTTACTTTTAAATGCTGTAATTTTTCTGTTTGAATAAAAGAAATATAACAGCAGTTAATTCATCGACATTTTTTGTTTTTGTTTAGGTCCGTGTGGCGGTAAAACAACTGGCCAATCTCGGATGTGCACTTTCTTTGAAAATCTTGGCTGGAAGGTGAGCTTCATTTAATATGAAACTTAGTTTGGAAAAACTAAGCTTTTTTGTTTGATTATTTTACTTTTTTACTGAATATCTAGTGGTTTTCAAATCTTTTTTACGTCTCAGATCGCAGAATATTCAGTGTGTAATTGCAATTAGTTATGAATAGTAATTTACGAGGTGTTCTATTCATTCTATCGTTCATTACAAATTTAATTCTTTAGATGAGCTATTCTCTCCGTGTGTAGAGATAGAGAGAGAATGGAAACAGGAAGTGAGTGAGAGAGTGAGAGAGAGAGTGAAAGAGATAGAGAGAAAGAGCAAAAATGGGAAATAATTTGCTTAATGATAAAGGGTAGAAAGGAGTAAAAAAATGACGAAAAACCGAATACGACCGAATACGATCTATATATGACACCCATAGGATGAAAGAACAACATATAAGCTCTTTATCCATAACTGAGACGGAAAAAACTCAGAGCAAAAAAGAGACAAATAAAGTTGCGAGCCAACAACATGAATCGTAAATGGAAGATATTCAGCAAATGATGCTCTAGCGGCATCTATACGGTAGAGTTTGGAAATTTGATTAAATGATTTCATCACAAGGTTTACCCAAATATTGGAAATGGTATTTGTCAAAAATGGCATTTCAAACGTCATTCATGATTCATGTTAGTGAACTTCCGATAGGGACAAACAGAACTCTGAAAGTTTTTGGATCTGTTGAATATAATAACATTGTGCTTCACAGCGTTGTTGCGAGCAATAGTGACACAACTCGGCATTGAGCGGAAAAGATATTTCTTGCATTTTTCTAGCTTTTGAAAATAGAAAATTATTGTAGAAAATGAAAAGAACTACAAATAAGCCAAAGACACCAGTCGCTATCTCTTTCCAGTCTTCTCCGCTCAATGCTGAGTTGTGTCACTTTTGCTCGCAACTTTATTTGTCTCTTTTTTGCTCTAAGTTTCTTCCGTCTCAGTTATAGATAAAGAGCCCATGAGTTGTTCTTTCATTCTATGGGTGTCATATCATATACAAATTTATTTGTTCGTCATTTCTTGCTCAACAAATTGCAATTGAATCAAAGTCCGAATCGAAGAGAAGAGAAGGCAAAGACAATTCAAGCTCAAATATGCCAGTAGCAGAAACTATTTAGATTATTATTTCATCAAAATTATATCACAATTTTTTTTTTTGGTAAGTATTCTCACATAGTATCAACATAACTAGACGAAGATATTTTCAGAGTGATTATGATACATTTTGTAAATCCGAAAGTCTAGATACGAATAGTTTGATCTATTTATGTCGCGTTTCTTACCTTGCCTTTAACAAATCGGCAGTATTATAATTTTTTTTTATTTAGGGGAGAGATTTTTTTTGGTAACAATGCAGCTCAACGTCAGGCAAATTTCATTACAAATTCCAAACAAAAACAAAAATTATCAAAACAAACCGAAAAATATTAGAATCTTGGCTTATGTTAATTTTTCCAGGTTTTCCGAGTGCCTGAAACGGCCACTGTGTTGCTCAGGTAAATGATGATGACACTCTCGTGGGCGTTATTAATTTTCATAATTTAATACAAACCTAAACAAAAAAACTTGCAAAAAACGATTTTTTAAAGGAAATTTGTATTATGTTTCTAGAAAGCCATATGTTTGTTGTGTCTTAGAATCTAGTGATTTTTTTTCTAGCTACAATTAATTTGTTTCACACAATTCTTGAGTTTCTAAACTCCATTTGAATGCTAAATATGTTAGTTCACTGCTCAGTACGATTCTATCACGGTTACCTGTGTTAAAGTTATGCGTTTAATTTGATTTAAACTTCTGATAATTTTATTTTTCCTTCTTAAAAACACAAACAAAACCAGTTCGTGCCATCTCGAGGACTACGCAATATTTATTACAATGCAAAAAATTTAAATCAAATTTACGTTTGATTTGATTACGTTTTTTTCAACACTTTGTTTTGTTTCATCAAAAATTATTTTCATTCAGTTTCAAAAACAGTTTTTCGATTTGTAGTTATACGCCACGATTCATTCTTCAAATCAATTGAGGGAGCTCTTGAATTAAAGGCACCATTTCTGACAATTTATTCCTAACTTTTCAAGTAATTACATCACAGAGAAATAAAAAATAATAATTCGAATGATTGGCAACAAGCCAAAAAAAGGGATTTAAACAAAAATCGCAAAAAACCTTTTGAAGCCATTGAAATAATATCTAGCGATTGTATTTATATACTAAGTCCAAAATTTTTTTTGGTGTTTTCTTGTTTTTATTTACAGCGGCGGTATCAAGTTCTCGGATTTAACGGAGACGGAAGGTAGGTTCAAAAGCACAATTACCATTTCCCCTGATATTTTGTTTGAAAATTCCAAATTTTATCTTAATTAATTCAAAATTTCCTCGAATTTTTGTTAATTTTCCATTAATCAACTTCATTTTTCTAATGGTCCAATTAATCGTCAGTGGTCCAAAACAGTACAGTAAAAATTTGAATATCTTAATTGAAATATGACCCAAACATTAATTGACACCATTTTGGCGCTGGTTTTTTATTTTTTGGTATTTGTGAGTGTAAGATCGGTGAATTCGTATTTTTTTAGTAGAAAAATACTACTGCCGAAAAAACACCAATACACCGTATGCTGCCGCTGGACCTCTCACACACTTCAGCATACTGTGTGTAGTGTGGTGTGAGAGCAGCAAACCAGCGCCAAACTAGTGTCAATTTCTTTCTGGGGACTCATTGCAAGACAATTCAAAAATGTCCCACAATACGATTCCTCTTGCATAAGGAAGATTATATAACAGAGAGAAAAAAACTTGAATCAAGTGTTAGCATATATGCTAATATTAATTATATTCATATTTGATAATGTAATAACACAAAATCGCGATATAAATCATCAATTTACAAGGAATGCATGGCAAAAACAAACGCCGCTTCTTGCTACCTCAGAGAAAAACCACAGATGACGTTTATAGTTGTTTGGATGCAAGCTTTTAAATACTATGAAAGAACTTTTATGTTCTATATCCCATTTATAAATGGGATTAAATTGAGAGATGTGTTTTTCTTGATACAATCACGTAAATTTCGAAAAAGAGAAAGAAAAAAACAAACTGTTGTTTTCGGAGTGTTGACATAATCCTCAAAAATGCATTCTAAAACTACTAAAATCAGAGATTACTATGGAATATTTTTATTCATATGGGATAGAAATATCGCATAAAAATATCAGATATTTTTCATGCGTTGCGTAATCATGTCATTGTTGCAACGCTTCTGCAGTACAAAATTCATATTCCTCTCTGGTTTTCAAGTCAAATTTGCATGGAGAGAATATGATAGAGATAAAAATATCCCATAGTAATCTCTAAATAATATTTTCCCGGAAATGGGATCAATTGAAATGACAGATAGCGCTGGTGAGTGAGATGGAATATTTAAGATTATGTCTTCGCCCTAAAATTTTAAGTGATAGCGGCAAAAAACTAAAATGAGATTGAAAAGAAAATTGTATTCTTCAATTTACATGTTTACATACATTATTTTGCTCGAAATGTTGTAGAACACTGCTTATACCACAACTTTGCCGAAGTGAATTCTAGTATCTCACTTCAGTTTCTTGTAAGGCACGCCTAGAAAAAGGCTAGGATAACATGCATCGTTTTACGTTTCACTAATACATAATTATTCCAAAATTACTGCTTTGTGTGTATCAAAGATCAAAACCATATTATTATTGCAAATACTCAAATCATTCATCAAAGTATTTATTAGTTCCAAGAATTACTCATTTAGATACCAATATTTAGGCCTTATGTCACAAGTCTCGGTAAAAGTAAATCAACAATTTATGTAAGCTGCCATTGCATGCGAATGATATCATGAACATCGACGTTTCGTGACCCAAAATCTTTCTTTTGCGCGTGCATATCAATGAACATGTTCTAGTGAAGGCACTCATTATTGATAACTTCGTTGCAAATCAGACTAAAAAGTCGTCATGAAGAAAACAACAAAACAAAAGAGAAATGTGTGGCTAAAGCCGTTTGTTTATATTTTTTATCTGCGACGTTCCGCTCTTTTGAGGACCATCATCAAATGGTAAATTGTGCAAAAAATAAGTACGAGTCGAAACTGAATGAAAATCAGTTCAAATAAAAATACAAACCAGTTAAAATATTACCTTTTGGATAGTGCTTTTCAATGGTGCTGGTTGGTGTGGACTTTGAAAGTTAAACTCTCACATGTTATCTCCAAACGCTTATCGATTATGTTTCGTTTTATGCTTGCAAGCTCGTCTTCAAGTTTGCTTATATTTATGTAAAATTCGATCATTGGTGGCAATTATCGGAAAATGTGTTATTCGCACAAGAATGAGACGAACATTAATTCAATTAGCCCATTATACTATTGTACAAAGGCGCTTAATATTCAGCCCGTATTTTTGTCGGTGGATTTTTGTTTCCGTGTATTGTATCATTATGCGGTTTACATTGCGTTGATCGTGGATACGAATGGGTTCACAAAATTTCGTGTGTCGGTTGCGTGTCCGTGCTCATCAATCATATTAAAATGGAAAAACACATCTGACAATGAATAATCGGGTTTGGAGTGAAGCCACTTACCAATTACCCATGGAAACAATTTTGCAATTGGTTTCTAGGATTCAGGCATAAACGCAAAAAAGTATGCATGGAATGTGGCACTTAATAACAGCGACGCAAAAAAAAATTCAGTATCAGTGATAACCGCATTTCAATAATAATCAATAGAAAGTAATCAATTTCAATGGAGAATGTTTTTGTCTTTTTGAAATCGCATTATTATAATATAATTATAAAAAAATATTGCTAACCACTTTCAAATAGCGCGCATTTCTCTACTGATCCAGATATTAGTGTGTAGTTCCTGTAGTTGAAAAATAATAAAAACTTGAAATATGAAGGAAACTTTTGCGACCTAATTGGCTTTTGATATTTTATGACGTAAGTGGCTTTCATTGCCACCAACCCTCAATTATTACTAACCCTTTTAATAAAGTGTTTTTTCGTGACCGAGAACAAACAACAAGACTTTGAAGAAGTTTAGTTGCTTAGTTTAAATACACAAACTAACATATTTCAAACTCTATACACACTCAATTCAATCGCTCTTACTCTGAACTACACACTAATGATGACTTGCGTCTAGAATCCAACATTTTAGACCTCTGTCTATTTTATTATAATTAGTTATACAAAATTAGCGTATACAGTGATGATTTGTGATTTGACAGCAATTGATTTGAAACCCATGAGCTCTGTTTTTGCATTTTCTATTTTAACATTGCTTTAACTACCACTTAATTATTTTGTTCTGTTCGCCAGTTTGATATTTTAACACGTGAATCAACCACACTACTCTTTTGATGTGCCCTATTCTACTGGCACAGCTAAAGCCATTACCACACAGACAGATAAATAGACCAAAGCCAATAGTTTTGACAAACTCCACTGTGTTTCGGTTGTTTACCGTTATGAAGCTAGCCAAATGCTTTCAATAACAATCAGGGGAGACGCTTGATTCAGTGAATTTGTGTGTGTGTGTTGTCTTCATTTTGTTTCTCTTTTTCCGTTTTAGTAGCTGATATTGCTAATTCAAATCAAAATGAAATTCGAAGTAGCAAACAGCCATCGATACGTTTCAAAAACGGTATACCGATGCATAGTGATGTTGATTTGAGCGCATCATGTCCGCGGTGTTTAGCAGCTGCTGCTGAAAAACCGGGTGGTAGTGATGGTGAGTTGCTGTAGTTGAAAAATGTGTTGCGATTATGTATTTATCTTTATTTCTCTCTTTCTCTTCAAATCCTAAATGTTGAATGAAGAAACCTACGATATTCATTAATTAAAATCGACATTTGCAAGATTCCAAACCCAGTAACATATATTATTTAACACAGCACAAGACAAAATGAAAATTGATACCATATTCCCTACAATACTCCACCAATATTATTCAATATCAGCAATCATTTCCAATATACTTTGATACCTACATTATTTAAGTTCAGTGGTAAAAATTGTCACTTTTTCGAAATCAAATCTCATTTAACCCTTTTCCACAATCCCGGGTCTGGCCAGGTATATTTCGTTTTTAAACGTTAATTTAACACATTTCTAGTTTACCTAGCAACTTGTGCTTTTTGGTAGTCTCCTAAAATTTTATTGGCTATCGATCTATCCAATAAAAAACTATCCTTTTGCTTCAAAAAAAAGACGAAATAAGGATATCCAAAAAATACACCTTATTTCACAGACCCGAGGGCCAGACCCCTATACATTTACATGCATTTGTATGGGAATATGAGATACATTTAAAAAAAATTTTTTATCGGTATGGCGGTTATGACACTATAACCACAATTTCCCTCAAGACAGATATCATTTATCACTTATCGGTTCCGCGGAATACGCGAAAAATCGCGAAAATTTCCCTTCGGATTATTCACGGAACTGATAAGAGATAAGTGATATCTGTCTGCAGCAACGTTGTAGAGCAGATCAACTACTAAACTTTTTGTGAAGACGCGCGCGCGATTCCTCTTCCACCACTCTGCGTATGGCACATAAGGATGCCTAGGTTTCCGCCACAAAAGGAACAACTTTCTTTCTCTTTCACACAGAACTCCCCTCCATATTGGCCGCTATTCCACTAAGCGATCAATTCAGATACAAAAATGACTGTTTCGTGAAAACGCAGGCGCATTCTATTTCTGCTGACACAAAAAATATACTGCAAATATTTTATTTGCAGATATTTCTTTATTTGCAGAAAAACTGTCTGCAAATAATGGCGGCCATCTGCCTCATGTGATACTGAAAATATGCGTTTCGAACACATTGACCTGAACATTTGGAATCTCTTCCCCAAAGTCTCTTTGTGATATGATTTTGAAAATTCAGATCCATCTATAATTTGCAAGTTTACTCACTCCTGCTTTTAAGAAAAAGAGATTCTCTAACTCTCTCCGATGCGTTGCAATTTCACAATGTTTGTTTGTTGTCGCATTTCTTCCGTGTTATTTTCCATACTGTTTCAGTGATATTGTCATTTCACTCTTATACATTGATTCGTATATTGTTCGTTCATGCTAATACAGCAGAGCTCAACCACGTTCTCTCACTAATGCTGACATTTATGAACTCCTGATACTCTTCATCGAAAGAACTTAATATTTTTGACCATTCATGCAAACATACTTTACTTTTTCAATAACCAATGTGTTAAATTGAAGTATTGGGAGCAAGGGGGAAAGTACTAGATTTGTA